AAAAAAAAAAAAAAAAAAAAACTGGTAGATTTCCAACTCTCCCATTCTTCCTACTTTAATTAGCGGGCATTCCACTGATTTTTTTCAAAAGACCCCCTTTCTTTCATTCCTTCTTTATTTTGTATCATTATGGACTCATGGATTTTTTAAAATGCATTATGATATACTAATGTCACTCTTGTTTTTAATGCTCAAATTTAGTCTAGTAAGAGCCCCTTTGAACCAGTTCCTCTTATCCTTTTGATGTGACCCCATTGATCCTTGAGAATTTGCTTGCTATCTGCTACAAATTGATCCAGGCTCAGCTATTCCTTGAAGGAGTCCTGTTTCCTAGCAGGCAAGTGGTATTTAGTATCCAAAGTGTGGGCACTAAGTATGTGCATTGTTACCAGGTTGTCACTGTGTCCAGGCCTTTTCATTATGCATTTACTGACATTTCCAAAGTAGATTTAATATTGTAGCATTTTTCCTTTTGTTTTCATTGTTAATGATATTTTCTCTTTCTTCTTATAGTCTATCCACAGTTCCACTTTCCCCAGGTTCAGTTACCCGCGTTCAACTGCAGTCCAGAAGCAGATGATGCGCCTCCTGACATATCAAAATGACAATGCCTACGTCACTCACCTCACCTCACACAGACATTTTGTCATCTCGCGTCATCAGAGGGTTGAGTCAGTACAATAAGATACTTTGAGAGCAAGAGAGGCCACATTCATATAACTTTTATTACAGTATATTGTTAGTAGTTATTATTGTTGCTTATCTCTGTACCTTATTTATAAATTAAACTTTATCACAGGTATGTATATACAGGAAAAGACAGTACAAACAGGGTGTGGTACTGTCCATGGTTTCTGGAGCTACTGGGGGTCCTGGAACATATCCCCCAAGATAAGAGGGGACTACCATGCTGAAATCTAAGCCCTTAATAACATGAATATGTATATTTGCCTCATCCTTTGATATACATGAATAGTTTCAAAAGTAGAACAGATTACTATTAACTTTCCTAAGAAAACTTTAAGTATGTTACTTTTTTTGGCTCTTAATCCAACATCAAGGCCCATCAGGATGCACAGTCAGAACCCTTTGCTCAAGTTATTTGAATTAATTCTCCCCACTGTGTTCCGTTACCAATTTGATAGAGAGTAGCATTGTTTCTGCTTAATTCCATTATAGGGATTGCATAGAACATTCATACAGTTCAAAAGTCAAAAAACATACATTAATAAAAGGTTACAAGCAGAGTCCTGTCCCTACCCTCAATCTTTCACCCTGTTCCCACTCAACCCCATTTTCATTCATTTCTGGTCTATTCTTCCCATCTTCTTTGAAAAATTAGCAAAGATATAAACACACATACATACACTCTCATTTTCCCTCTTTCTTACATAAAATGTAAATGATACACCCTTGTGTTAGAGGGACAGCTCCACCGTGGTGCCTGGAAATCTTGGCCTCAGGCCACACATGCAAAGGCGTAAACCGCAGCTCATCTTCACGGGCAGCGTGCTCTGTGGTCCTCCTTGAACACGAGGGGACGGTGGGCTGGGGAGGAGCTATCTCTGAGCCCTGTGCCATCACCTCCCTCTCTCCCTTAGGAGGCTGTTAGGAGAACGCTTCTTATCCCCTCCTGCGGTCTGCTGAGGCTTGTGCTCCGCTGCCTCGGGGCACAGCTCTGGGCTCTCAGACTCCTCAGTGCGGTCTGACGTTGGCTCATCCCCCACGGGGCATCCTACGACCCGCACTGCAGTCAGCTGGCCCCTCTTGTCTCGGTGTTGTCATTTTTTGTGTGTGAGACAAGGACCCAGGGAGCTGGTATCTGTGGCTACTTGTATGAATCCAGAATGGCACTTACCTTTCCTGGCCAACCCTGACGAGCCATGGCTTTGCTGTGACTTGTGTGCTTGACAGCTTGCTTGTTTCACTTACCAACGTGCCGAATTTTAACACATCAGTTTTCAGGGGCCTTCCTTGTTCTTTACAACTCTATCATACATCTGCCCACCACAGTGTAGTCACCTCGTCTCCATCTGAACTGTTCTGAGCAGCTTTTTTTTAGGCCTTTGGACGTTTAACAATTGCTTCAAGGGCAGCTGTGAAATGCTAAGACCTTTCATATCAAGAGGGCCTAAAATATAACCTAGCTAATTTCTTAATACAGCACTCACCCATTTTCCATGGCCTAGAACCTTCTGGGACAGGCAGGAAGCAGCCGCTGCCACCTGAGAAGGGTGATAATGCACCATGTCATAGTCAATGAGAGTCAGCTCCATCAAATATTTGGCTAAAGTGTGCTGTTCCACATCAACCTACAAAACAATAGCCAGGGGTGTAAGGAGCACAGCTCTTATTACTCTCCTGCAAAACTATGGGTGAAGGCCTAGGAACCCAAATCCATTGAACTCACTTATCCTCCCCAGGAACTACTCTATTCTTCAGTGAGTTACAATCAAAGAACTTGAGGTATTTTCTCTTAAAGTCTTATCTATGAAACATTAAATAAACATATAAAAGATGCTTCCTATAAATTCATATGCTCTCCTTGAACCAGAGCAATTTCTGGGATGAGACAACAAGCAGTAAAATAAAGCCTCCTTTGGAACTGGAGGCACTTACCTCCCCAGCTTTTGATGCCCGCCTTAAGAAATGTAGTGGCAGGGGTCGACCCAACTCAAATTTCAGTTCTTTCAAAATCAGAGTTTCCATTTCTCGGATTTGGGAACTGGTATAAGCATTGTCTGTGATGTAAACAAAGTCTTCAATATTTGGAGAAAACATCTCTTCATATTTGGAAGCCAAGAGCAGAGCCGTAATCCCAACCAGCTGAAGCTTCTTCCGAGAGACTGGCTGAACCTGATTGAAGAAGGATGTGTCAAAAGTCATACCTAATGAGAGACCTGGGGCCCAGGGTGCAGGAAATTGAGAGGGAACCAAGTGCTGGAGAAGTGCATGTCACCACTGCTCACACCCCTCTTCCAGGCACAGGAAACCTGGCTGTGCTTTCCTGCCCACCGAGGACTGTATCATGAAAACCACTGAACCTATGGTGTCTTAGGATTTTGGAGTATCTCAGGGTCATTATTATGAATACAATTATTATTGTATTGTTTCAGCAGAATTTGTACTTGACCTAAATCTGTATCATAAATGTTGACTTTAAATAAATAGTTATCTGCAGGGCTACAGTTTAGTGGATAACACACGAGTGGTTTGTCTGGCATTTATTCTAACCACAGTGTTTCTGTATTACAAGTTGATAGGTAGGCTGATCACTTCTGCCTCTCAGCTTAGTTTCTTACATTCCTCTTTAGACCTCGCTTTTTCTCAGTGCACTCCCCAACATATACCCTCTGACCTTTAAAAAAAGTTCTCCCCCTCCCCTTCTACAGTGATTCCATGCCACAGTCGGTTTGGGAACTAAAGTTCTCTAGCCAAACTCCTCATTTTCCAGCTGAGGAAACTTAACACCAAGGAGTTCTGAACTATGTAAACTGTGCAAGCAGACCTCAAAAAGGTCTAGAGACACCATAGGCTTCAGACTGACTTTCAGACCATCTGTTGGTATATTTCCTTTGATGGGTGACCATGGCAGTGCGGTATTTCCCCCTGAAGGTTTCCAGCCGGCTGATCTAACAGAGAGGGGCAGCACTGCTCTGTATCAGCACACATTTGCACACTTGGACTACTGCCCTTTCCAGCACCTGAAGATCTTCAACTTCTTATAGACTTTCTTTTAGTCTTTTCTTCAGAGGCATCACATCTTGGCGCTGCATAAATGCGATGTTCAATGAGTCTCTGGCACACAGTCCGTGAGGTCACACTTACCTGCAAAAACCGATCCATGATGGCAATGCACATGTACAGCGTTTCCTGCAGCAGCCTAAACTTGGAGTGGACTTGCACCAGCCAATCCACCAGGATGGCACGCATACGGCCATTGACCTCTCTTCCATCTAAGAAATGTGGATTGATGGATTGCAGAACCTGTTAGTGGAATTAAAAGTTGTAAAAGATGACCTCATTTTTCTTCCCAGCTATGTGGTAAATTTCATGTAACTTGTACAACCCCAAAGGCCCAGTCACCTCCAGCTGCCTCAGGTACTGGTAGATGTCCTTAACGTAGTCACTGCAGAGCTGAGGGTTCTCCCAATCTTCATGATCAATATCCTCGATTTTGCAGAGCAAGGCATCAGAGAAAGCTTGGCAGAGATCCCCTTCTTTCATGGAGATATCCTCAGGTGTCGGAGAAGGACCCTACATCAACAAATTACAGCACATGTGTCCCTACCGTAAGGATTAAGGAGGAGCCTTAATCACAAATACCTGCAGAGCCACCTGGTTTAAAAGCATCACATGCATTTTTTAAGTAAGTATATTAAAGCAAAAACAAATTTCAGAATAAAGGTGAATAATTTAGTATGTGGTAGGTGAAGTTTTAAGATATACTCTACTGTTTAAAACTAATTTCACCCAAAGTGAAAACCTAAATCCTCAAAATGATCTATGGCCTCTGCATGATCAGGCTCCTGCCCCTTGCCCTGCTGACCTGTCTCCTACTTCTCTTCAGTTCGCTTCACTCCAGTCCAGCAGCTCCCGGCTGGGGCTCCCTCTTCCAGAATACGAGTGTCCCTGTGTCCACGTGGGTAATTCCCTCACCTTCCTCAGGTTTTGTTTAAAGGTTTCTTTCTCAATCAGCTCTATCCTGATTCCTATTTTAAATAACCATCTCTCCTATCGCACCGACCTACACATTTCATTTTTCCTACTGGGTTTTTCCCCATACTACCTATAACTACTAATATACTATAGGGTTTATTTATAGATGATGTATATAACTTTGCCTACCTCTGATAAAATGTAAGCTCTATAAGCTTACAATTATTTAAATGGATTTATCTCAAATACCTATATTATCCCTGACACATGGTAGATTCCCAAAAAATATTTATTGAGTGAAAAAAAATTTAGACACCTGGACTCAGAGATTCCTCGAGGGGATAGTTCATTTCGGTAGTAGCCTCTTCTACAACTGTAATACTTTCTTCTCATAATTTATGCTAAATTGAGATATTGGCAACTAAAAAGCAGAAAAGCACATTCCAGCCCATGAATAAAATAAGAGGAAGCAAAGACTGAACAAGCATAAATTCAGTATTTTTTTCTTTTCTTGACTATTTATAAAAATCACACAAATTAAAAGTTAACAGTTGTTTTTTTTTCTTTTGATACCATTAATGTACAATTACTTGAACATTATGGTTACTAGACTCCCCCTATTATCAAGTACCACCCACATACCCCATTACAGTCACTGTCCATCAGCGTAGTAAGATGCTATAGAATCACTACTTGTCTTCTCTGTGTTGTACTGCCATCCCCGTGCCCCACCCTACATTATGTGTGCTAATCGTAATGCCGCCCCTTATCCCTCCCTTCCCTACCATCCTCCCCAGTCCCTTTTCCTTTGGTAACTGTTAGTTCATTCTTGGGTTCTGTGAGTTTGCTACTGGTTTGTTCCTTCAGTTTTTTCTTTGTTCTTATACTCTACAGATGAGTGAAATCATTTGGTACTTGTCTTTCTCCACCTGGCTTATTTCACTAAACATAATACCCTCTAGCTCCATCCATGTTGTTGCAAACAGTAGGATTTGTTTTCTTCTTATGGCTGAATAATATTCCATCATGTATATGTACCACATCTTCTTTATCCAGTCATTTACTGATGGACACTTAGGTTGCTTCCATTTCTTGGCTATTGTAAATAGGGCTGCGATAAACATACGGGTGCATATGTCTTTTTGAAACTGGGATGCTACACTCTTAGGGTAAATTCCTAGGAGTGAAATTCCTGGGTCAACTGGTATTTCTATTTTGAGTTTTTTGAGGAACCTCCATACTGCTTTCCACAATGGTTGAACTAGTTTACATTCCCACCAGCAGTGAAGGAGGGTTCCCATTTCTCCACATCCTTGCCAACATTTGTTGTTTGTCTTTTGGATGGTGTCCATCCTAACTGGTGTGAGGTGATGTCTCATTGTGGTTTTAATTTGCATTTCTCTGATGACAAGAGACGTGGAGCATCTTTTCCTGTGTCTGTTGGCCATCTGAATTTCTTCTTTAGAGAACTGTCTGTTCAGCTCCTCTGCCCATTTTTAATTGGATTATTTGCTTTTTGTTTGTTGAGGTGTGTGAGCTCTTTATATAATTGGAATGTCAATCCCTTATCAGATATGTCATTTATGAATATATTCTCCCATACTGTAGGGTGTCTTTTTGTTCTACTGATGGTGTCCTTTGCTGTACAGAAGCTTTTTAGTTTGATATAGTCCCACTTGTTCATATTTGCTTTTGTTTCCCTTGCCCAGGGAGATATGTTTATGAAGAAGTTGCTCATGTTTATGTCCAAGAGATTTTTGCCTATATTTTTTCTAAGAGTTTTATGGTTTCATGTCTTATATTCAGGTCTTTGATCCATTCTGAGTTTACTTTTGTGTATGGGGTTAGACAATGATCCAGTTTCATTCTCTTACATGTAGCTGTCCAGTTTTGCCAACACCAGCTGGTGAAGAGGCTGTCATTTCCCCATTGTATGTCCATGGCTCCTTTATTGTATATTAATTGACCACCTATACTTGGGTTAATATCTGGACTCTCTGTTCTGTTCTACTGATCTATGGGTCTGTTCTTGTGCCAGTACCAAATTGTCTTGATTACTGTGGCTTTGTAGTAGAACTTGAAATCAGGAAGCGTAATTCTCCCTTGCTTTATTCTTCCTTCTCAGGATTGCTTTGACTATTCGGGGTCTTTGGTGGTTCCATATGAATTTTAGAACTTTTTGTTCCAGTTCATTGAAGAATGCTGTTGGTATTTTGATAGGGATTGCATTGAATCTATAGATTGCTTTAGGCAGGATGGCCATTTTGACAATATTAATTCTTCCTACCCAGGAGCATGGGATGAGTTTCCATTTGTTAGTGTCCTCTTTAATTTCTCTTGAGGGTGTCTTGTAGTTTTCAGAGTATAGGTCTTTCACTTCCTTGGTTAGGTTTATTCCTAGGTATTTTATTCTTTTTGATGCAATTGTGAATGGAATTGTTTTCCTGATTTCTCTTTCTGCTAGTTCTTTGTTAGCATATAGGAATGCAACAGATTTCTGTGTATTAATTTTGTATCCCGCAACTTTGCTGAATTCAGATATTCGATTTAGTAATTGTGGAGTCGCTTCTTTAGGCTTTTTTATGTACAATATCATGTCATCTGAAAACAGGGACAGTTTGACTTCTTCCTTGCCAGTCTGGATGCCTTTTATTTCTTTTGTTTTGTCTGATTACCGTGGCTAAGACAGTTACAACGAGTTTAGCAATAAAAAATAAAAAAACATTACTTCCTAAAAGAATAAGAGGTACTTCTCAAAGTAAAACCTAACAGGACTGCTAGGCTATAAAGAAATGAAAGAGAAGCCTGCATAATAAACAATTCAAACTTACATTAAGGGTCAGTCATCATAGTTTCCAGTCTTAGATAAGAATAAAACAATAACAACAACTAAGTATATATATACTGCAGTTCAAAACACATCCTTGCTCTTACATCAAAGGTCTTAAACTGAGGAAGGTCCAGGGGAACAAGATGTATGCAGGTATGCATGCCACTTACTCAAGAATTTAAGAACCTCAAGGGACCAGAATGAGTAAGAACTGCTTTGGGTGCCTAGATAAGGTGACCAGGGAGGGCAAGACCTCAGGGAAATGGGTAGGTGAAGGCACACCATGCTGAGTCCCAGATGAAGCCAAGAAATAATAAAGGCAAGTCTGGGGATGGCATGTTGATTTGCGATGGTGGGAGGTAATGCATAAAGTGTGACAAGATGGGCTGGAAAGGTGAGCAAGAACCTGGCTAAGGAATTTATATTTTATCCGGAGGTAAGTGAACCCACTGAAGGAATCAGGCAAGAGTGACTAGAATCAGATGTGCATCTGAATATGCACAGGTAGAGGTCATTGCCATGTGCTTCCCAGGCTGCCTTCGAAGCTTAACCTGTTTACCTGTGTCGGTTCCGAAGTACACCTGAGTGTAGCCATATACAAAATCTTCCAGGATAACGCAAGGATAATTGCTCTAGCCCTTAATTCACAATTTCTTCTGAGCATTCCTTTTGGACTCCAGCATAATTCAATCATTCTAAAATCCTTCCTAATATCCCATTCATCTGTGCAGGTCATAGCCTAAGACCTATGAATGTCTCAGTCCAGGGTCTGCTGCACACACAGTTTAAAAACTGTAGCAGCTAATAACCATCACAAACCTTTGACTGACAAAAGTGGTCTGAGAATAACACCCTTCAAGTGAGATTAATGAATGACTTCTGTGGGTTGTCAGAGACAACTGAAAAGTCATACCAGCGACAATAAACTTATGAGATTTTGCTTAAGTTGAGAAGTTCCTGTTTGGTAAGAAGATGAGTGGAGTGTGAGTAAAAGTGACCACTTCTCCTGATGCCAATGCGTACTGAGTTGGTCCACTGAGAAACGGGTTAATATTCATATGCAAATAAATAAATAGGGATTTACACAAGTTTTGGTAAAATACGGAGTTCCTTTATTTGCTAAATTTATGATAAGCAATGTCAATTAAGTGCAACATGCAAAAGGACTCCCAGAAAACCTGTTGATGCGCATCAGACAGTTGATGATTTGTGGAAGTGTGTACACATGACACGGGCGCACACACAGCTGCAAAGGCAAAATCAGCTCCCATGATTAGCTCTTGGGAATGCAATGGGAGGGAATTTTGGGGGTCCAGAGAGGGATAAACATGAACTAATCTTTTATTCTACATACTCTATGTATTCCTGTGCTTTGCTTTCTTATGACTTTTTTTATGACTGTGCAATTAAAAATAAAAGGCACTTTTAAAAATGTGATAGTGTGCTTATTTCCCTTTTATATATAGTTTCTGTATTAGAGAAAGTTATATCACATTCTTATACTTCAATAATGACTCTCACTGAATTTCATGTCAGTTAAATCTGTGAACATGTAATTTCCACCTGTGACTTCCCAGTACATCTCCTAATCTTGCATTTATCTCCTTAACACATACAGTAACACATGCTTTTGCTCTGACTCTCCCCAACTTGATTGGAAGTTACTTGAGGACAGAGTCAGTGGTTCATTCAATTTGTTTCCACAGTGCCCAGCAAACAAGGGGCTAGTAAAAATCAGTCTCCTTCTCTTTCAAGCAAACTACTCAGTGTTTGTGGAAGCCTCATGAGTCAGCAAAAAAGTTTTCTCCAAAAATTGTAAGATAATAAGCTTCTGCAAACACCTGTGGATGGTCTCAGCCAGGGCTCTTTGTGATTCAGTTGCATCACTGCTATAAAGAAAGAAACCTGCCCTCCAGTTTCACAGATAGCATGGATTTGGTTAGAAGTCTGGGAACATCCACATGCATGAACACATGGCTTATGTTATAAACCATGAAACACAAGTCTTATTGCTGCGAGAAACCCTGTACTCAGCTGGAGTTTCCACACCTCCAGGACTGCCTGTAAATGAGAAGCAATGATTGCAGATACAGCAAATGACAAATAAAAGGCAGAGTTCCGATCAGAGGCAGGCAGAGGGGTCAGCTGCCATGAGGTAGGGCATCCCCTAAACTGTGGACTTAATGGTCTCTTCGCTACCGTGTTTCTCAGAGAAAAGTGTATTTGAAGTGGAAATAATAACTGTTGTTTAATCCCTGATGTCTCCCAAAGCAAGAAGCATGTTTCAACCATGGGAGTGATTTTGATATCAGTTGAACTATAGGTCCACAATTTTTTTTGTCAGAAATGCCTGATTTGTCAAGAAGCTAGAGAAAAAAGGAATTAGACAAGGAGATGTGGAGTAAAGGGAACTCAGCAGGAATTACAAAGGTCACACACACATGGATATTTCTCCTTTGTTTTGTTCATAATATTTTTGGTTCTTTGCTTCTTTTTTTTAAGTTGCCTTTTTAAGTTCTTCAATTTGAACATGGCGGTAAGTCTGAAAATTTTATGGTTAAAAGTCTGAAAATTTTCAGGAAGGAAATGAAAGTGAACATTATTAAGCCGAACACGATATTCAAAAATAACCACCACCAGGATTTTGCAAACTTTTACACACTTTTAAAAGCAAATCTGGGTTCCACTGCATTATATCGTGTTATAATCTGATTTTTCCATTGATGTGATAATGCATTTTGACCATCTTTAAATTCTACTAAAACATGTTTTGGGTTGCACAGTATTTCAGTAATTGAATTTAACCAATCTTCTAATACAGAATATTTCTCTTTTATATAAGAGATGTTCATGACAGCACCATTTAAAAGTCCTCAACTGTCCTTCTGATCATTAACTTAGGATAACTTTTGAAAAGAGACTTACTGGGTATGGAGAATAACCATTTGAAATATACTGCCAAACAGCTCTCCTGAAATGTGGGTGGAACCACATTCAAACAGTCACCCATATAAAATGCAGCTTAATGGTCAAGACATCAAGGTCTGAAAAGTTGCTTTGAGTTTGGCCTTTAGAAACCTCCCTATTAAAGAAAGGCCAATTTTGAGTATTTGTTCTGAGCTTTAGTTCTTGCTCTGAAGCCTGTTTCCTCTTGTCTTATAAACAGCAACATGCTGCAACCCTCACCTCTAAGTAGAAGGCTCCCGAGTCTGTCCTCTCCCTTCAGATGCTGCTGGCTCATTTCCAAGTGCCTTTCCCGGTGGATGTCTGTTACCTCAACGAATCTAAGGCCAAATGAGACCCCTTCCCTAAAGCTACCTCCCACTCCTGACTCCTTTTTATAAATTTATTCCATAAATGGGTTCTTAAAAATTCAAGTGTTTAAGGGTCTCACTCCTCCACACCAAGCAACATATCCAAAGAATTCCTTCTAAATGCAGGCCGGTGTCCCTGAAAGGCGTCTGGCCCATCCTCCCCTACTGAGTGTTGTCTCGGCACCTGTGCACATCGGCGTCTGGGTGAGAGCTGACCGTCATCAGCCCTCAGAGAACGGCAGTGCCTCCTAATCGATGTCCCTTCCCTGGCCACCCTACACTGCTTTCGTCACTTCTCAAACTTCTCACAGGTTCTTCACTGCCAAATGGGGAAAAAATCCTCATTCCGAGGCCTTCAAATCCAACTGCAACCTTCTTCCCAACTTTATCTTCTGCTTCCTCACACAAACCCTGTAAGCCCAATGTAGACCTGCTGACTCCTTGCACAGGACAGAATTATAAGCTTATTTCCACTTTGTTGCCTTGACTTCTGTTGTGCTTTGTTCCCTGAAAAGATGCTCGTTCCAATCAGCATCTCCCCATTCTTACAAATCCTACTTATTCCATGAAGTTCCCCCTGACTCCTCCATTCCTGGGCCTTCTTCCCTCCCTAACATATACTTTCTGAAGGAGGGCACGTCCATCTGCCCTAGTCAGCCGCGGCACAGGGCCGTCTACCATCATTCCCAGGATCACTAATGTAATTTCCAGGTCTGTCCACCCCTTCTGGAGGAGTCTCCTCTAGGCAAGACGTCTCCTTATCAGCCTTCGCACAATCAGATGTGTATATAAATGTTCAGTATATATACATACATACATACATATATATGTCTCAAATATAGCCAATGTTTAATTTAAAAAATTTTCAAACATACAGAATATATCTACTTTTGAGCTGGAAAGAGGGAAGGAGTTGTCACATCCTCGGCACCTACAACAGTGCCCGTCTCATAGTAACCGCAAGAATGTATGTAATCCACGGACGAGAACATGCCTGAGCTTGGACAAGGTGGGAGGTGAATGGGCTGATGGTTCCCTTAGCATTCTAACTTGGACTGAGCTACCCACTCAGAGACTACAGTGTGTTCACACAGAATATCGGCATTACTTTGTTCTTACATGAGTGTGGGTCTCAGAATTGTGAGCTTCCACAGCCTCCCTATGCAAGTTTATTCTTACAGCGGATTATTTTAATCAAGCATGCCAAATTTCACTCTGAGACCACTGAATTCATTTGGGTATTAAGGTAACTGACTTTGTTATTCACGATCATAACATTAAGGGACCACACTCTTGTTTCAAAGGAAGGCTCTAGCTGTGACTCTTCTTCAAAAGTAGCCGTGACGATAAAGGCACGCTTGCAGTCAAGCTAAAAACAGGTTATTTCCCTGAGTTTGATTGTAAGTTTAGACTTTCCTACCTTTGGAGCCAACATTTCCCCCTGTACTGGTTTCACAGAAGTGGTAGGTTTCAGCGGTTTGTTCTCATTTGTTTTGGTGGGCTGCGCAGGTACTTTGGTGTTCTGAGCTTTCTACAGAGAAAAAGAAATGTGATCCAGGGGCAAGAGAGCCAGCGTCACCCCCAGTACTATACAGAACCAGCCCAGTGTCCACACATACAGTCTTCAGTGTTGTTACCTTAGCTCCTGGTGCGGCTCTGGTTGTGACTCGATTTCCAATTTCTTCTAAAACTGCCCGTCTGATAGTCACATGACTCTTCACTTTTGAATTCACTCCTGTGTAAATATTCTCCAAATCAGTGGGCACCTTAAAAAAAATATTAGTGAAGAATTGAGACAATTTCCAATACTTTGCTAAAGCCAGATACCCAAAGTCAGAATTAACTTGGAAAAAGTGAGTAAGCCGAAATGTATTTACAAGGGGAAAAACTACATTTTAGGAAGTCAAAAAATGCTATTTGTGGTTGATAACACCACTCTAAATCAGGCAAATCATATATCCACCTCATCTATAAAATAATCCCACTAAGAGCTTCACAAATACGCGATGATTTCATACATAGCACCCATGTCACTTGTTAGAGAACCTTGTATACTAAAGGCATCTATTAAAAAACTTCCTTTACAGAGCTGAGTAGCAAGTACAATTAAGACACAATATTAGAAAGCTATAATTGGTCTGGCTGTTTAAAAATCAGATGTTTGAAACCCAAACTGCCTTTGACTCTTGCCATTCTAGAGATGAGAAGTGCTTCTGTAGAAGTGGTCTTTAGATACATAGCCTTTGAAAATAAGGTTGCATAACATGGACTCTCTTTTATATTAAGGGTACTTAGAAAGGAAGTGATTTTCATGAGTAAAATAGTTTTACTCTCAAATTCAGCAAATGTTGGAATTATGTGAAATACAAAGTTAGCTGACGTTAACTTGCTTTAGACAGAATGTACTTGGAGAGAGAACTTGCCGGGAAAACAAAAAATTTTCATTTTATTATAGAATTGATAAACATTTCACGAGGACAAACATCATACCCCAGACCTGGGAACTGGGGGTTGTAATCCTAAAAAAATCTCCTAATCGCAGGGCAGCCCTGAGCCACCCAGGGGCGCCTCTCCAAGACCCAGGCCAACCTAAACTCCCAACTCCAAACTTCCGGAAGAGGAATGATGCAGATACGGCCTTCTAATGTTTAGTTCAATACCATTGGTGTTGAACGAAACGACCAAAATAGACAGAGGAGCAAAGGAAAAGTCAAGCCTCTCCTGAACAGAAAGAATTCAACTATAAAAGAACTTTACGGAACAGATTAGGCAAAAATTACTTGTCAGTTTGACTTCGAGATGCACAAAGATAGGAATTAAATTCTGAATGTATTTAAATTAGGATTCTCAAAAAAAATTTTCCAGCAGCCATTGCCAGTTCTGAAAAGCGTTTGAAAATTAATTGTTTATGAGTTGAAGCCTGGTAATCCAAGTTTCAATCCATCTTAGATTGATTGGGGAAAATTGCCAGTTTCTAACGAGCGTCAGACAGGTGGACGGAACTCAGGTGTGTCAGGGTCCTCTATTTTCTCAGCAAAGGAAAAGTAGATCCAGGTACAATTTAAGCTCACAGAAAAAAATACCCAAAAAGCCAATTAACACTTTGATTTTTGCAAAGATGAAGTAAATGAATTTGGCCTCTTCTCTTTCCATCTGCCGTATTGTTCCAAATTATGTTCAAAATCTCTATTACATTGGAGTTAAGAAGTTATTTTTTTTAAAGACAAATCTATACATTAGTGAATTCCGCCTGGAAGACTTCGTGTGCAGAAATAATTGGGAAACTTACACAAAACAAAATGTGAAACATCTGAAAAGCAGCCACGGCGGTTGTTGGTCAGTCAGCACACTTTACTGCCTACGGAGTTCCCTCCAGGCCCCTCTCCTCCGCATCCCCACCACGGATCCCCTGGCCGCCAAGGAGTTGAGAGCAGAGGCAGGAAACGCCAGGAACCTGAATTTGGACAGCTCTCTAACAGCGAGCCCTCGGGACCGCTCGCGGAGCGCTAGGCCCCGGGGCCCGGGAGGCCCACGTGACCGGCGCCGCCCCCGAGGAGCTTTCCTGTTCCTCCCCAGCCAGGGCAGGGCAGGGCGGGAGCGGGGACCGGACAGCGGACCCGCGGAGGGCGGAGGCCGGCCCGAAGGGACAGGAGCCAGGCCCCGGGCGCGGGGGAACGGGCAGCCCGGAAGAAGGGGACACGGGCGCCGGGTGGCAGCTCAGAGAGAAGGAGGGGCGAGGCGGCCGGGGGGCCGCGTGGCAGAAGCCCCTGTCCGTGCTGGGAGTCGCTGGGCCCACTCACCGCCGGGCGTCGGAGCAGCGCCATGAGGATTGGGGCAGGCGAGAGCGCCAGCCCGGCCCAGGGCAGGACGCGGACTGGGGAGGCAGGGCACAGACTTCCGCGGCGCCGTTAGGGCTACGCTCCCGACCCTCACCGCTGGAGATTTTCGCGTTGTATCCTTGATCCAGGATTCAAATACCGCACCGCTCGCGCCCCCATTGGGCAGCTGTACGTACGACGCGCTCTTCCCATTGGCTAGGACGGAGGCCTTTCGGCAAATTGATTGGCTGAATGTTTCAGACCCGTTTAGTTGTCATAACAACCAGTCGTTTTTTTCTTCCCTGTCTTTTAAAAAAAATCTCGGCCTCGAAGATAAACAAATTGAAGTGGCTCATTGGGAAAGCAGAAACGGGACGCCTCCTCTGAGTTTTGACAAGGCCTCAGCCACGGATGCCTCTCTACGTTTGTACTGAGTGGGCGGAAGCTGGTTCTAGGGAACACCCCGGGAAGGCCGTATCTGCATCATTCCTCTTCCGGAAGTTTGGAGTTGGGAGTTTAGGTTGGCCTGGGTCTTGGAGAGGCGCCCCTGGGTGGCTCAGGGCTGCCCTGCGATTAGGTGATTGAGCTTCAAACGTGTGCTAAAGGAGTGAAATTGCGGCGTTTACTCAAAGGCTGAGAGTCCCAGGAGAGGGAAAACAAAAACAAAAAAGCAGTAGTGGGATTTGTGTGAATCATGTAAACTCTTGTGTTGTACTGCGGGCACCTAGCAATTGTTAGGTATGTGTTGTGGTGCGTGCTTAATAAATATTCCTCGAATAAATGATTTTTACATAGGAAGGAAGGTGTGACCCAGCCTTGGGTAGAAGAGTGAGAGGATCAAGTCAAGATAAGAAAAGAGGAAGGGAAAAAGTGAGACGAATGGAAAGGGGAAGAGGGAAGGAAAGGTCCAGGGCCCACAGTAAATGTAATGGATTGACTCCTAATAACGATCCATCTAAGGATTTGAGCAAGCTTCCCTATTACTCCTATCCTACTCTTTAAGTTTACCTTTCTGTTACTGAGGTACTAATGAGCCCAAAATGAAGTTAATAATCTAAATGATCTGTATTAATTTTCTTCTCTTGTCCTTGCTCTTGCCTCTGACATTTCAAATTTGTTTCCTCTTCTGTAAAACTGGAACAATTGCAGCTCTTGTGTGGCATGGAAAGATGTTAGTGTAGCTATCGTCCTTGAACTAAACATTAGATAGCCAGTGAAAAAGTCTTGGGAAGGAAAAACAGATGTTTAGTGCAATGCAGTTGTGAGTAAAATTGTATTTTTTTCTTTATTATAATATTGTAGTGTTATCAAAATCTACAACTATAAAAGTAACAATCTTCACTGACTCACAGGGCTTTGTAAACACAAGTGTTGTAAGTGGCTCAACATTGTCAAAATTAAATAATTTAATCCTTATTAGACAAATTATATCTTCATTAAAAATAGAAGTAATGTTTCTTTTGTGTCCCTCAGCGCAACTAACCTAGAACCCTACAAATAAATTTTTGTATTCAACCTTGTTTAATGCTTTGTAGTCCTCACACTTTTATTTCCTGTTCATTCCAGTCTCAGGTAACATCAGTCACCCTTCCCATACACTAATTTACATGTACTTTCTCACTGAATGTGCGTAAGAATCCTTATAAAGGAGTAGTATCCCAATTTTTAGATGTGTAACTGACATATACCATTGTACTAATTTCAGATGTGCAACATAATGATTTGATACTTGTATGTAGTGTGAAATGATCACCACAGTAAGTCTAGTTAACATCCATCACGTGTTATCCTAATTTAACAGATGAAGCAACTAAGGCTCAGAGCAGTAAAACGTGTTGGCTACCAAACATAGCACCTAGGAGTTTCAGGCCTAGAGATCAGTGCTCAGGTCTGATTCCAAAGCCTATGTCCTTTCCACTATTTTTGCCATTGTCCATTCTATTTACATTTGGCAGAAGGAGCAGGAAAAGTTTGAAACAGTCAGAGAAGGAAACCAAAGAGTAAATTAACCAAGGATAAATTTATTGAAGGCCAATGGCCCTTTACAGTATGGTAAAATTCTACATCATCATTTCACTTTCTTTTTGTTTCTTGGTCAAGTACTGCTTCAAAACGGTGTGCACATGAACTTCAGCAGACATGGGGTGAAGGGAGAATATTGCAGGGAGAGGGAGTTTCCAAAGAAAAGTACGGAGCCCCAGTAGTGGACTGGCACGACTGGAGACAAGGTGAATGACTTGGTTCTGGGGGAGCCACTGGACTTCAAGGCAGCTGTTGCCAAGTGTCCTCCTACCCCATGAAAGGGAGTCAGAGGCAGAGAGATTCTGAGATTCTAACACAACTGTTTAGGTCCTGGAGTGCCAAATGTGACACAATTTGACACCAAAATCCTCCAGTGTGGGGTGGAGTCTTGTGGTCTTGGCTGTCAGGACTATACTTCTGAATCACCAAAGATTTGCTTGCTGTTTCTCAGACCCTCCTGGCTTCTGATTTCTTATTCAAATACCCATTTCCGTCTCCTGGTCTTGGGATTTATTTTTTTTTCCAGGCCCTTCATCCACTAGAAGTCCTTCAGTCAGATACGCACTGTTGATGGATAGCTCAAGAACTTTAGTTAGCAAAAATTTCCCCGAGTCAGGTCAGGGCAGGTCAGCCTACTCCTGGAGGTCCCGTTGGCAGGCCACTTGGACCGCATGTCAGGCTCAGCCTGAGGTGCTGCTTAATTTAAACAAATGCATGACTGTAAGCTCCATGAGAAGGGCTGCTGGTTTGGGGACTCATTCTGTCTCTAGAGTCTAGAACAAATGAGGTGATTATTTCTAGCTGAATGTTCACCAGGGTTCATTTGGGGCAGGTACTCGTGTGTCGTAGAGGACAAGTCCAGACGCTCAGCTCATGGTCATGGCTGCTGGATGTTTGAAGAACGATTTTCCACTTGTGTCCTCGGTAACGTTCAGTAGCCATCCTTCCAGATCACAATGAGGTCATCAAGACCCAGCTTAATTTATATATCATTCATTTGTGAATGAGACAATTGGCAAACTGTGATTTTCACCGGCTGAGTTTTACCAGAACACTTCCTATAGTTTTATGAGCTATCTTCCTAATGTACTACCATGTTCACTCCCTCACTCTTATCTCATCTCTGTTTTCCACCACCACCCATTTCTGCCTACTTCTGATTTCTTCTTTTCTCTCTTAACTTGCTAGAAGACAAAATGTATTTGCTATATTAAAATTAAAACATCAGTGTGCACAAGGTACTGCAGGGCAACTAGAGAAGAATGAAGTATGACCCATGCCCTCAAGTTCAAAA